AAAAATCTATTATTATAACTATAAAGTATTATGAACTTGATATGAAAAGATCTATGATAAAATTCATAGAAATAAAAGAACATAGTTGTTTTAATATATGTAATGGCTAAAGAACAAAAAATACTAAAAGTATATATGAATGTTTTTGAAAGATGTTGTTTATTGCCAAGGTTGTATTGAAAAAATTACTATAGATAAAGATAAATTAGATGCAAAAGAAGAGGATAAAATTCTTTGATAGAATGATAATTAAAAAAAAAAAAACAGTAAAAATTTATAATCCAAAAGATAACAAAAAGAATGAGCATGGAAATGCATATATTTTTAAGGCATTAATAAAGGCATACAATGGCAAAGTACATCAATGGTTTAAGCTTCTATCATTTGAATTATGGTCAAAGTACACAATTCATAATACAATGACAAATTATATGTTTTTTGAATTAATATATGGATAAAAGTCAATAATTCTAATAGAAGAAATTGTACCTATATAAAAAATTGTGTCTCTTTTAAAAAATAATGTTAATAGAAAAGAGCTTTTGATAAATTGGATTTAATTTTTTTTTAAATTGAAAATATTTAAATTATAATAGAGAGGTTGAAAGAAGCAAGGAAAAAAAAATGAGAAAAGATTTGATAAAACACATCAATTACGGTCTAAAGCAATTCAAGAAGATGATTGGATCTTAATCTATAATAGTAGTAGGAATAAACAACAAAGTACACTACAAAAGTTTTGAAATGTTGGTTTGGACCATATGTTATGATAAAAGCTTATAACAATTGTATATATTTGTTATGAGAACATAATAGAATGAAATTCAAGACATCTATAGCAAGCAAGAAAATTAAGTTAATTATACGAAGAAGTAGTTGCATTTAATGTCATAAATAATTAAATCTATTAAATAATATTAAAATAAAAATAAAAGAACAAATTAAAAGATGAAGAATTTAATTAAGATATATATTATTTTTACAATAATATATTAAAGAATAATTGATATATGTCAAAGGATGCAAATGTTAAGGGAGAAGTGGATAGATATTGTGTTGTAATATGGCTATTATATGCAAGAAATATAGATAATGGTCAAGGAGGTAGTATAATTAATAAGTACTAACATTGCCTTTTTATACAAAAAAAACTTTTACTTACTTTGTAGAATCATAAACAAGATAAATCAGCAAAAGAAATACTATGTACATATTTAAATAATGATAAAAAATAGATTTTAGCAAAAACTCATTAGAAAACCTTAGAGTGATACTCAAAGAAGATTGGTTGCAAATCAAGATTGAAACTTGATTCCAAGGCACAAAATTGTATGCGTACAAAGTATTAAGGGTTTTTTTTGATTAATTAAAGAATATAGTTTAAAAAAATTAAATTTTTTTTCTTTAGGCATTGATTTTGTATGATTTGAGTTTGTAATGAATTTGTAAGAATTTTAGAAAGTCAATGTTGTTTTAGAATGACTCTAGTTTTTGAAAAATAAAATAGGTTTATACTTTGGAGAATTTGTTTAGATTTGTAGCAAAATTATAAGTGAAATTTTGAAAACTTGTAATTGCAGTTATACTGAATGTATATTAAACATTTGAATTCAATGAAACAATTAATATTAAGGTTATTGATATTGAAGTGGATTTAGGCTCCAAAAATTGGAATTTAGAAGACTAGTAAGAGTTTCTAAGATTTGCAATAATTCTCTAATTTAAATGAGGTAAAATAAGACAAACTAATAAAAGACTTGATTTCTAATAATTGTAAAAATTTTGAGAGTAATTGGATAGTAAGATCAAGAAATATTGGCACTAAGAAATTGGTATTAAGGTTGGAAAGAGAAGCCAACCAATATCAAACACATTATGAGATTTATCTTGTAATTGGTAAGTTTAATTTTTCTCAAAATTTATATGCTTTTTATTAGTTTAAATTTTAAAATGTATATTTTTTTTTAATTAAGATAAATAATATAATTAAAAGTTATTGAGGTTTTAAGACTTTTATATGTTTTTATTAATATTTTATTATTATATGATTAAAATTTTAATAAAATTTGATTAAGATTTATTTAGAATTTTAATAGAATTTGGTTTATAATTAAAGGTTTGATTAGAATTCACTTGAGATTTGGTCAAGAATTGTTTAGAATTTGACTAAGTTTTATTTAGAATTTTAATAGAATTTGGTTTATAATTAAAGGTTTGATTAGAATTCACTTGAGATTTGGTCAAGAATTGTTTAGAATTTGACTAAGATTTCTTTAGAATTTGATTAAGATTTCATTAAAATGTAATAAAGATTATATAAGGTTTATTTGGAATTGATTAGAATATGAAAAGATATATCTAAGATTTATTTAAGATTGATAGGATGTACTTAAGTTAATTGGAAGCTTCCTTAGGTTGTTTAAAAATGTTGAAAGGAGTTCATAGACATCCTATGTATTATTTTGAATTATAAATGAAATTTCAAGGTATATTTTAAGTATTAATAATAATAAGTCTTCAATATTTTTTTAAAATTTATTAATAAAAGCTTTATCATTCTAATCTACATTGCAAATAAGATTTTAAAATTTAATAATATAAATAGTAGCTCATTATGATCTTATGTAAAGACAAGAGTTTGTTCTCTACCATCATTTCTTAATTTTTTTTTTTTTTTTTTTTTTTAAATGTGGTCATAAATACTTTTAAGAATGAATTAAGATCATACAAGAGTTGTGAATCCATTTTTTATTAGAGGTGGAAACCAATTGAGAGTATTTCTAGATAGAAATGTGCCAATAAATCCAACTTGATTAAATCTATTTAGATATTAAAAAAGATACAAAATTAGATAGAACTTGTGTTGTAGTTGAAATCATTAAAATTTTTATCTTGTTCCATCAAATTTTTTTTGCATACTAATTCTAAAATTCTTCATACCTGCAGTAAAAAGACTTTTTGGATTCAATTGTAATATTGATCTATTTACTTCTCTCAATTGCACAACTTCTTAGCATAGATATTGGACCTCATTGTTGATTTCTTCTATTATGTATAGAAATAATACATCCATGTTGACATTGGTAATACATGAAATTTTTACTCTAAAAGTATTGACAAGGTCATGTAGATTTGTAATAGTTGTAAATCTATTTTCATATTTGCAAAGTATAGCATCTATAATTTTTTCTTCGATTTCAATAATAAGTAATATAAATAATTCTATAATTCCAATTAAAAGAATATAATCCGAAACTTCTAATATTAAATAAAAAAATTCACAAAGAAGAATAAATTACTTTCTTTAAAGATAAAATCAATGTTAAAAAATAAAAAAAATATTAATTTAAAGGTAAGTATTTTACAACCTTTAAAATACAAAAAAAGAAGTGGATATTATCTATCACATGTCTAACTTACAAGAAAAGTTTCTTAAATGTACATTATATAGCCAATTTATACCACAAGACACTGTAATACTTAACTGACTTCCACAAAGAAGTCAGTCAATTATCCCACAAAAATAAAAATAAAAAATTAATACTTATGTTGAAATATTAAGAATACAAATCATAACAAATTAAATGGTAAATATATTCTTATGTCACTAGAAAAGAGTAGATATTTATTCAAAGATAGTATAATATTAAGACTAGAATGGCTTTTATTAGAGACATGAAGACTAAAGACTCTTAAAACAAAATCAATAAAAACAAAGGCATTGATAAGAGTGAAAAAGACTCCATTCATACTTATATATATAGATATAGATATAGATATATTTAATCTAATTAATATCCATATGACAACATTCTATATCACATCTATTATTTGTCTAATTTGTAAAACATGTGTCCAATTTGCAAGACAAGTTTCTTACATGTGCAACAAATGGCCAACTTGTTGGCCAAATTTTTAACCTATTAATTACCTACAATCATATATAAAATCAAATCTATATCTATAAAGGTTTTAAGAAGCTTATCAAAAAGATATCATAAAATTTAGTAACTTCTACCTACTTCTATCTAATTCTTTTAATCTAGGTAAATACTAATGTTAGTCATATCCGTAACATAAAATTAACTTGGCGTTTTTTTGAAAAATGTGTTTTGTTAAAAGATAAATATAATAATAATAATTATATTTTAAGATGATATTATGTTAGATCATAATCATATTCAAATTAATATCCATCATTAAATTATTAATTTACTTCATAGTATATATATATATATATATATATATATATATTATTATATTTTTAATGTCCCCAAATTTTTTTTATAGAAAATTAAATATTGAAACTTGTAATCAATACGGAATGATTGTGTTTATCTTATTATTTATTTCAATTAAAAAAGTCAGAGTTATACACACAAATTAAAATTCTTGTTACACACATTATTATTATTATTACTATCATCATCATTATTATTAAATAATTAAAAAAGTAAAAACATTAGATTTGTGACTAAATAGGTTACAAATTTAGTCTGTATGATATTTTAAAAGAAAATATCAAGATTTCAGGTTGATGAAATTTTTGTAGTATTTTTTAATTGAACTCAAATAATTTTTGGGTGGACCATTGCATTCCAAGTGAGTAATCTACATCTTAATATGTATGTATGTAATATATATATATATATATATATATACATGCTAATTAATTAAAGAGCTATTATTCATAATGAGAGAACTAGAACCTTAAAAAACATCATATTATGAAGAGTGATAGCTGCATCATGGAAAGAGTTATAATACATTTCAAAATGTCTTGGAAAGAAAATTGGGACATATCGCATAATATTCATTGAGGGGTCATTTATCAAGGAGGTGAGGATGACATCAGCACGGGGAACACCCCACCCAATCGTCAGGGTCCTATCCCCGTGCCCTCGCACACTGAACCCCCGAGGAGAGACCGGGCGGGCTCCGGAGCCCGGGGGGCCTGCTCCGCCAACAAGGAGTCTCTCGCTCTGTTCTGGGGCGCCCTTATCTGTTTCCCGAAGCCCCGCCCTCATTGTCGTCCAATTTTCAATCAGCAGAAAGGGGAACGAAGAGGAGGAGCAGTGCGGGGCGGGTCCCCTTCTCCCTCCTCAGGCCAGGGTTTATCGCCATTCAGTCTCACAGTCCATGGCGGGGGCCCAAAATCAGTCCCCGATTGTTGAGCCTGTGTCCTCGTTATCTGGACTTGTTAGATTGCGCAGAGTAAATTCCTTGTTGTAAATTTCCTTAATCCCAATGCGAGGCGGCAACTGCTCCTTGGAGCTGTAGGGTTTTAGGCTCTCAGCGTCGCCGCGAAAGGGATTGTCCCTTTTCTCTTGTAATTTGTTGGAATCTGCAAAATTTTCTTGTTGAATTGTTTAGTTTAGGTCTTGTTGATTGAGAGGTGGAGGTCAATCAGAATGGCGTCGATGGCGCACGCCCTGACGCTTCCATCCATGGGAGTCTTGGACGCGAAGATTAATGGCGGTGCGAAGAGTAGGAGACGGGTGGCCGCGAGGGCAGCGGGGTGTATCAGAAGGAAGAATTTGCCGCTTGGTATGTTTGGAAGTTCTCTGGTTGTAGACGTAATTTTTTTTTTTTTTTTTTTTTTTTTTTTTTTTGGCGTGTGGCAGTGCGCGAGGGTATGGTGGAGGAGTTTCTGGTTATTTCGCAGTTGTGGTGTTGTGTAATTGTCTCTGCCTCTTAAGCGACGAATCTCATTCTGCAGGTGATAATTGCATTGGCATTGGCTGGGATCCTTTGCACATGGGATTGCTACCTGTTGCTGATCGAGCTCGTGTGAATCTTGTTGCTGATTTTACCAACGTCCGTAATCAGGTACAGCAACTGCCTTTCCGATGTAAGGAATTCATTTGTAGGTGGTATTTTGTTACGTTCAAAGGGATGGTCTTTAAGCCTTTTACGCGGGTGAATGGAGATGGTGGGATGGCGAAGGAGGGTTTGTCGAGTTTGTCCAGCAGGGTACAATGTGAGAGGAATTCCGAGATAGCGGCGACGGTGAGGTAGAAGATTGTGGAGTTTAGTGGTGCTGTCTGGTTTAGAGGGGTGGGAGTGGATGAGGTCGTTGAGGGCTTGCTGTTCAGGCAGGATGTGAGCTCATGTATGCCTGCTCCATTTTCTTTGGATGTGCTATTATGTACATAATTTATTTTTAACATACTTGCCATTCTATCACTATCTGGGATGCAGCTGAAGAGTAGCAGGAGAGTGATGGCATTCTTGCAGCGTTCTACCTTGTTATCCGGGCATGTGCGCGGTCACACAACAGGGCAGAGTGGGAGACTTTCTGTTAGATGTAGCGCTGATTTTCCTGATTCTATGGAATTAGATCCATCTCTAAGCAATGAAAGTTCTGAGAGCAAGGAGGAACTTTGCACGACTGCAAGCACTCAATCAATGGCCAAACTAGGGGTCTATACATCTCTGGCTTTGGTCCTCCCAGCAGTTATCACTGCACAAGCTTCAGCCAAGGTAGCCCAAAAAGTCAAGAAGAAAGCGAAAGTTCCCAAGGCAGTTCCGACCATGCAGTTAGAAGAAAGGAAGCAATGGGTTCAAGGCCTTCCAAGGATAGACGAGACAATACCTTACACGGAGGTGCTTGAACTTCGAGAAGCAGATAAAGTGAAACACATCATCAAGCATCCCAATAGTAGGTTGAAAGAGCGGCCGGAAAGAGTTTTAGTTGTCTTGGAGGATGATCGTGTGGTGCGTTGTGTGCTTCCACCTCCTGATAGAGATGAACAGTTTTGGACCAACTGGGAGAGTATGGAACTTAATAGTCTCCTTATCGATGCATTTTCTCCTGCAATTCCCCCTGCAAAGGTTGAAGGCTGGGCTGGTAAGGGGCCATCTTTGACGTTTCTCTATAAAATTCAGGATTTTTTCAGGAAACGAAAGAGCAGTACTAGTAAGGGTGCTAAAGGATCGAAGTCCACTAACTCAAGACTAGAAGAGTTAGCGAAGGCCCGCCGGGAAATGGAGCTAGAGCGTAAGAACCTGGAATCAGAGACAAGGAGATTGGAGGCTCAAAGGATTCAAGACATGAAGAAAGCCAGGGCGCAAGCACAAATGGCAAGAGAGCAAGCGGAAAGGGTGCGGAAAAAAGAGGAAAATTGGGCTCGGGATGCAGAAAAACGGCAGCTTCGAATGCAACAGCAAGCTCAGGATAGTGTTGATTGGAGTAACTTCTTCTACAGTGCGTCCAGAAATGAGGGCTTCCGGTTCTTGATGGGCGTCTTCTTTTTCTGGTTATTTTATCAAACAGTAGTTGTTGGGGTGAAAAAGAGGAAACAAGATTACGAAGATCGATTGAAAATTGAGGCGGCAGAGGAAGAGGAACGTCGCAAAATGCGGGAGTGGGAGAGTGAAATGGAGGCTGCTGAGGTTGGTTCATGGTCTGAATCGTCCCTTTAAATTCAGACAACCTAGTGAAGAACAACATTAATCGTAATGCATGTAACATGATGTTGCTTATTTACTGACAAGGCCTACGATTTTGCTTTGTTCAGGCTGCCACAACAACTGAAGAATGGGGAAAGGAAGGAATGAGTGAGGAAGAAAAGAAGAGATTGGAGGAACTGGAGAAAAACCCTCAATTGCAAATGGGAATGAAGTTCATGAAATCAGGTACTTGATAGCGTATTGCGCTTACTATGATGACCATGCTAATTCTGGGTTTAGACTTATTTGTTGAATGGCATTGCCTTGGTCATTATGACCTGAGATTCCTAAATAGTGTTCTCATGTGATTTTTGATTATTTGTCTGTCTGCTCTGGTGATAGCTACTCAGTGCTGATTCTGTGAGTATGTGATTCTCAGGTGCACGAGTGAGACGTGCTAAAGGACGCCGTCCACCTCAGTATCTGGATTTAGATGCAGATGTGAAGTTTGCAGACGTTGCAGGACTGGGGGACATCCGCAAGGAGCTTGAAGAAATTGTAGATTTCTTCACGTATGGTGAAAAATATAGGCGACGTGGTAGTAAAATTCCTGGTATGTTCTGCAGGAGACATCTGAGCACTACAAAATGCTTTATCTACCGTGTCTGATGAGATTTGTATCAATGAAATGTTTAAAATTATAGTCCTTAAGCGGGTTTCATCTTTACGAATCGATTGTAATAGTGTGTGATTTGTGAATTCTGCAGCTGGTATTCTACTTTGTGGAGAGCCAGGAACAGGAAAGACTCTCTTAGCAAAAGCTGTTGCAGGTGAGGCCGGAGTCAATTTCTTTTCGATTTCAGCATCTCAATTTGTGGAGATCTATGTCGGAGTTGGAGCCTCTCGAGTGCGTGCCTTGTATAATGAGGCTCGAGAGAATGTAAGTTATAGTGACCTTGTTTTTTCTCTCTTTGAAGGATTGATGACGGTTTAGCTTAGCATTTTGATGCTAGTGTTGAATTTGTACCTAATTAGTTACAGGATACACTTTACTTTTAGTCATGTGTTCTACCGTACGAGATTCTGTTTCTGTTTTTTCTATTAGACGTTATGTCACTTTGTTGCTATGAGTTTCAGTTAATTCGAAACTTCTTGCAGGAATCGTTGTCTAGCTGTGTGGTACAATTACTACCTAGTTATTAGATATTCTAACTCAGCAAGGTGATTTTTTTAGCTTCACACCTACGAACCCACTAAAAATGAAAAAAAGTGCAAAATGCTGTTTATTTTTGGTCGTTTCTGAATGGTTTCTACTCAGAGGGTTTACATCGCATAACTACATTATGTTCAATTTATGTTAATGTGCAGGCACCAGCAGTGGTCTTCATTGATGAGTTGGATGCAGTAGGGAGGCAGCGTGGTTTGATAGGAGGGTCTGGTGGGCAAGAGCGTGATTCGACGTTGAATCAGGTTATAGAATTTGGGAAAATTTAAGAACAAGAACTTGAACTCTCTGTAGTGCAGCGTTTGCAAATACACGAAAAAAAATTACTAGAGAAATATAGCACGAAACAATCCATACACCTTCACACATGCAATTTCAATTGCACATAAACCCAATCAAGGATTTTTTTTATCATCGATTGTTTGATTCAGTTTGTTTCTATCCCGATGTAGATTAATTTCTGATTTTAAAAGTTCCGTATGTTGGGTTGCAGCTGCTTACATGCCTGGATGGGTTTGAAGGAAGAGGGGAGGTCATCACTATAGCTGCCACAAATAGGCCTGACATTTTAGATACTGCACTTGTCCGACCTGGTCGGTTTGATAGGAAGATATATATTCCCAAGCCTGGGACCAAAGGACGTGCAGAGATCCTTAGGGTAATATTCTGTGATCTTTTCGAGCCTAACTATCCAGATAATCATCTTCCTTTTTTGCTGGATGTAGAAACTGGCCTCTGCATATTTTAAAATCTTGTTCCAGTATTTTCATGTTTAGGTTACACGTGTGTCCGTCTGTAGTGGTGGTCTATCTGCATACTTTAGCTCAGAAAGTTTTGTCAAGTTGACCGACGCAAAAATATGTGTAGGTCCATGCAAGGAACAAGCCAATGGCAGAAGAGGTGGACTATGATGCAGTTGCGGAGATGACTGATGGAATGGTGGGAGCCCAATTGGCTAATATTTTGGATGTTGCAGCCCTCCAAGTGCTGCGAGAACGTCGATCTGAGGTTGTACACTAAAGTCAGATTGCAGCTTGTTTTTTTGGTTCTCTGAGAACATTATTTATTTATTTATTTATTTATTTTTCTGTTTGGTGTAAAGCTGTCTCTTTAGATTAGATACGAGGACCGAATTTTGTACTGACTTTGTCTTCGAAATCATATACTGGTGTCACAGATCACCACAGATGATCTGCTGGAGGCTGCTCAACTGGAGGAAGGGGGTCACCCCGATCCACGCCCTCGTAGTGACTACTTGTTGTGGATGCTTGCGTTGAATGAGGCTTCGATGGCTGCCTTTGCAGCAAATTGTCCCGACTTGAAGCAAATTCAACTGGTTTGTTTATTTGTTACCTGAAAATTTGTTTTTATCAAGTCATTTCTGTGGAAGTCTATGTCATGCCTATTTCCTCCCTTTTCATGTTCTCTATCTCATGGTTGCACTCTCTCTGCCAAATACGAGTTCCATCCGCACGCATATGTATCAAGGGCATTCTGGTATGTAGGGACTCATTTAGTTGCTTTGTGAGCTACTTTGTGGGATAGAGCCTGTCGATGGGATTCTGGCTGGAGGTTACAAACAAGTGGAATCTTTTAGCGAGAACTGTAATCTATGTTCTACACATACATTCTTTGCAGTCTGCTAGGGTGGCTCAGTTAGGGACTGCTTCTTGTAGGTAACTATCGTGCCGAGAATGGGGGAGGAGAAAGGTGCAGTGCGATTTAGGACTGACCGTACCAAGTTTGAACTGCAATCTGTCAGGTTATTAAACTATCCCAGTCAGGCTCTCTGTAATGGCATCATTTTAAGCAATTTAAGGGTATGTTTTAGAGGCATTCGGCAATAGTGCTGGAGCGTACTCATGAATTTAGACAGAAGTATAGGGCACGTGTGCTTTGTGGTTTGAGAGAGTTTTTATAATACGAATTAAGTCTTAATATTATTACTTTCCTTTAGATACTACTGAACAATGCTGTCTACTGTATTTGTATGGATGAATATTAAGCCCTTCGGATTTAACGTCGAATTGTTTGCTCACTTCTGACGTGTTTGTCCTTGCAATAGCCGTCAAGGGATGTTGGATTACATCGCAGTCCAGCTTGCACCACGAGCAGCCGATGAAATTTGGAATGGTGTTGACAATGTAAGTTTGCCTCGTTCCTGTTATTTGTAGAATTCTGCCAAATAATGTTGCGGCACTGAAAGTGCTGTAATTTTTTTTAAAATGTCCATACGGAGATGCATTTTCTGCTCTGTGGCAAGTTTCTCTTTTCAATGTTGTTCAGGTGTATTTCATATTTGATTGCCTTAAAAATCCCTCGTATGTTGAATTTGAGTTCACCCGTTAGCATACTAACTTGCATGATCTTTGCAGATGAGTACCATATGGGCTGACACAGTTGACCAGGCACGCGCTGCGGCACGAGACTTTGTATTTGCAGGTCTCTCTGATAAGGAAGATCTTTATGGTCTTTATGACTGTGTCTACAATTACGAAAGTGTGCAGGTACTTTACACGTTGAACTATGTGCAGTGTTTGTTGTTGTTGTTTGTATCATTGACATGTAAGTCGTTTGCATAGTTACTTTTGTAGTAGTCCTCTACAGGTTGGCATTGATTGCTATTAACTTAACCATGAAATTTGCGACGCTTTCAAAACGATTCTGTTCAAATATTGTTTGTTTAGAAAATTTTACCTTGAAAGATATGTCAAGGATAGAGATGTACTTCTTTCTCTTCAGCAAGTCTGTTATGCATACTCGATTTGTGTACCTCCATTTAGCAATTAAATGTAGACTAACCCCACTTTAATTTTTGGTGACTCGCAGTCTGTTGACGTTGAAGCGTTGAAGATTGTAAATCAGTGCTATGATCGTGTACTTGAGGTACTTATCTTGCTACTCTTTTGAGTAGATTTGGTGGTGTAACTTTATTACATGGCCATTTTGAGCGGAGTCTTAAGATCATGTGAATAACATTGTTGTTTGTATGTGACAGTATTTGAAGCGAAATCGGACGTTGGTCAATAAAATGGTGGAGGCATTAGTGAAAGACCGAGTAATTAGGCAAGTAGAGTTTTCACAATTAGTATCTACATACGGAAACCTAGATCCGCCGCCATCCACGCCCGTGGAGATACGCGACCGCAGCCTTGCAGCTTTTCAAGAGGCGATGATAACTGAGAAGCGAAGCATAAGAAAGTGAAAGATGCAGTGTAGTGTCGGTAGAAAAATCTGACCCGCTGTGTTTAGATCATTCCGTTTTAATGAGTTTGAGGCCTAAGATGTTTTCCCACGCAGGCATCGATTAGAGATTGAGAGAAGCTATGTATAGGTTGGGCATTACAGTTGGGAAGTGTGACTTGATCACAGGAGTTCCAATGCCCAAGAGAACAACTAGCTAGCTGTAGCTTGTACCATGGGTTAAAATTGGTATCGGTGTCTACCATATGTTGAAATAACATGTTAGGGACACCACTTGGCACACTGGTCGCATTTCTTCTTTCATTTTCTTGCTTTCCGGCAATTCGACCTGCTTCATATCAATGATCGGACTCGAACATTTCCAATTTCTGACTCTTGTAGTAATTCTCTTCTTCTTGATGTGCTTGTTCAACTGTTACGGCTTAGAATAAGACCGTACTTTGGATTGATTTTATGGTGCCACTGACCCTTTTCCGTGGTGTTGAATCAAACCAGCTTCGGATAATTAGAATTCCCAGCTAATAAACTGTCCGAGCTGCTGCTCAGTTTTGCAATCAAGCTTAGGACTACGATCCCGGTTCATTCTTGACTTCCAAGCCTGGTGTTGGAACAGCTCCCTTACGGGAATGATAGAAAGAATCTGCGTGTTCACAGTTTTTTGTCAGATTCCTATTTATTGTCGGACCTTGGAAAAGCGTGGAATGCTTGAACGTTCTACGGCACATCGTACAAAGCTCGAGTCTATTTTCGAACCAGAGGTTAGTTTCCACCTGATCACAGACAGGACGGAATTGGAACTAGTATAAGAAAAGCGACTAAGTCCACCGATGAGAGATTAACTATCCTGTCACCAAATGAGTTACGTGTAGATATTCAAAACGCGAAAAGTGTCGGGTAATTTCATCGTGACCCCTTAGGAAGCATCGACCCTTCTCGATCGTTTCTTTAAAAGCTGTCATCTAAGCTTCCGTTGATCTGTACGCCGGCTTGCAGAATTGCAGATCCCAGCCCCTGCTGCAAGCTCCCTTGAAATTGTGTTCTTAGACTGAGGATAACGTGGTCATAAGGGGAGCTTGCGATTTCGTGCTGGGGTTGTGCTTCGTTCAAGAGGTTCTTTGTTGGGGTTAGAGCTGTCCCACTACTCGTTCCCTCTTTTACACTGATTTTATCTCCACAATCGGTGAGTATGACGGTTTTAAGCTCTAAGGTTTTGTGTAGATCGATGTGTTCTCAATCTCCTTGTTTACTCCTATTGCAGATTTTTATTGCAGCGCAGACAGTGATTCGTGAACTGAAGCACTCGTTTCGAAGCGTATCCATTTCACATGTCGACGACTAACCTTCCCGAAGATGGTCCTCTGCCTCAAGGAGCTCCGGTGCCAGAGCCCTTCTACTGGCCTCTGGGCGAGGCATTGTTCGCCCAGAGACGAGACGCACGGGAAAAGCTGCGAAGATACAACATGACGGGCCTTTCGTCTTTGCCCACAAAGGAGCTGGAGGCTCAGCGAACCGAGATTTTGAAAGAGTTGTTTGGGAAAATCAACATTGAGAAGCCCCCCTTCATAGAGCCGCCTTTCCAGTGCGACTACGGCCACAACATCGAGGTCGGCGCAGACTTGTACATGAACTTTGGATGCTGCATTCTGGATTGTGCCAAAGTTACCATCGGCGACAATGTCCTGTTTGGACCCAACGTCCAGATTTATTGTCCCGGCCATCCCCTCGATCCCGTCTTAAGAAATGGAGTCAATGGACCTGAATACGCGTTGCCTGTCACAATAGGAAACGATGTCTGGATCGGTGGCGGTGCTATAGTACTGCCGGGGGTAACCATTGGCGATGGCGCTGTTGTAGGAGCTGGAGCTGTTGTGACGAAGGACGTGGAGCCCATGGTTGTAGTGGCTGGTAACCCTGCCAAAGTAGTGCGCAGAGATGTCAAGGGCAGTTGGGGTAGCGTTGTATCGCGCCACAAGAATGCGTGAAGTCGAGTAGAACTTGAAGCCGATGTATAAATTTAGACGTAGTCTATCAATTGCAATGTACTTCTCCCCTGCATGTGTTGGCCTCCGAGTGGGCCTGATGCCATGCCCTATCTAATCCACGTCTCACGTGCCTTTGTGGGCATACAATTTCTGTTACACCAGAACTTAATTGTGATCGTCAATTCTCTGCAGAAGATGGTCCCAAGAACTTGCTGAACGAGTTGGAATTCAGCCGAATGTTTTGGCACACTGGTAACGGGCAAGTCCACGGAGAGTAGATGCATATGGCTACTGCTACGGTGTGACCATTTCTATGTCTCACTATTCTCATCTCTGATGCTCGGTGCGATCGTGAAGCTTGGTAGATCAGTTGTGTACGACCTATCCTGTGCTCGATCATGTTGCACGTTGTAGTTCATCAGCGTTTGCGATTGATTCGGTCAAGTCCTAGTTAGGTCAACTTTTAACAAAGTCATAGAAGAATTCTTTGATGCCGGTTTGGTCCAATAACCCCTGCTACAGAGCTTTCGCGTAAAATCTCGAGGCTTAATACCCAGACCAGTGCCAAATTTGAACACTAATAGCGAAACTGTCCTCTAACATTTCGTTGCATGTGCGCAACAGTTCGCTGCCTCTGTCTACTTGATCCAAACTAAGTGCGCGAGAGGATGTAAGCTTCTAGAGCTTCAAGATGATGCATGTACGCGGAGCCGAAATCCTTGTCCTATTGATTCGCCTGCCATTCTTGCTGCTTCAGACGGATGTTTGTGACTTACGAAGAGATTACATATCGACTCAATTTATCCAACCACATTCCTGCTTCAATTATGGTTGCGATGCTTGTAGGGTTTTCAAAGTAAGGTTTTGCAGAGAATGAGGCCTCAACGTATGCAACGGGTTTTCTGGATGTCAAAAGGAAGGGTGTGATGCTCGTTGTACATGTGTTACTCAAGATGCCTTGAAGATTGTCTTTCATTTATAAGCAAACATGTCTGATGCTCGACGCTGATGAGGTTAGGAGAGCTATTGAGCTGCATTCCTTGCCTCTCCCTGTCATTGTAACTTTAGATTGAGTATTAAGTTATGTCATTACTGATGTCAGGTTTAGGAATGAATATTTTGCACATGTTGGGTGCTAACGATACTGGTGGAATTTTTCTTTGTAAGGATTCAAGTTTAGTCGCTTGTCAATTTTAGAGTGTCAGATGAAGTTACCCGGAGCAATTAAGGGAAGGAATCCTTAGTCCGAAGAACTGTTGTTTTTTTTATCACAGGCGAAATTTTCTCGCTCGGCTTGCAACCAGCTGGTTTCACATACACTATTGAACTTGAAAATTACCACAAAAACTTGAGCAATGTCTGTTGAATTAATGACAAGCTCGTCTATTGTAGCAAACTGATAATGGTTCTGGTGAAGTGAACGTTCCGACATAGGAGCAAGAAGCTGGACTGATCAAGGATTCCCAGAAGCGATCCGAGGTGCCAGACATCCAAATACTGTAACCCCTCTCAACCAGTTGAGCTTTGAGATTGCCGTAATACTCTAGGAGCTTACTAATAGGAAAGTTTGCAAATCACTGTGTTCTTTGATGAGCCCGTTTTATTTTAGCTTATTACCTTCCTCACATCGAGAACTTGCGTTTTCTCATCAATACGTCAGAAGTTATGCTTGTGATAGACGTGATTTACACGATGATGTTGTTGAGAGATAGAATTGATGCAATATGGTATGAGTTGGACGTCTTAAATAAATTTCCAACTGGCCAATAGTACGTGTTACATTGTAACGTCTTCTAATTACGTCCTTTAGAACAAAATTTCGATGAAAGACAATCATCATCAGGCATTGTGTCTTCTACATGTTTGTCACAGTCTAAGAAGATTGTGACCCGGATTTGCTTGTGTGTGTGAACTGCTGAAAGGTCGGAAACTCGTGGCCAGATGTGGATACCGACAGTGGTGTATTGCTTCTATATTATGACTTAAAAGGGAAGAAATTTCTGGACATGACGTAATTTTCTTTCCATGGTTCGAGGAGCACTGTCTGTACATCTGCACCCAGTTTCTAAGCATATAGTGGACTGATGTGTAGTAGTGTGCAGAGGTTTGTGGGTTTCTTGAACTACTCTTTACTTTCACAAGTAAACTTCGAATTGTCTACGAACTTTCGATTTTTGTTATATTGTTTTTACAAACTTTGGGCTTTTGGCATCGGATATTGATAGGTTGATCTGCCTCAAGTCTGACAGCTAGGTTTGACGTTTTAACTTTGACATGCATAGCAATCGTCGCAGGCATGCATCTCCTAATTGAAAATTCTGCAGCTCATGTGGGATCGAGTATTGGGTCTGCTGATCGAGAGGCCCAAAATTTTACTCTGGTGGTTGCATTTAAGTCAAATAGTACAAACTCCCTAATCAAAAAAAAAAAAAAAAAACTTCGGTACTGGATTGAACTAGGGAGTAGAACTGCAAGACCTAATCTCTGTAACCAAAGCCTCTTGAGCCAATTATGGAACTCAGGAACTACCTTCATCATCTTCAACTCCGATGATACAAAACGCTGAAAACAGAAAAGGCCAAAGCATGACGAAGCTCAAATGGCCAAATGCACCGCCTCTAGAATAATGCAGCCAGGTTCACCATCACTAGTCTCATGGAGCTATGCCTTTTGAGATTATCGCTTACATGGGAGCCACGGTCGCTGCCTGATATTCAACTCGAGTCCGCGGTCAACACTTGGCTCATATCAATTTTTATTCCTCCGGCGAAGAAACACTCTTCCTGCCATCAGCACGCCAGCGGCGATGACAATTGCAACAACTGGTCAGAAGAAACGAAGCAAAACCCACCTCGTGCTCTCCCCTATACGAAAAATGGTCAGCCCTGGGTCTCCTCGATCCTACTCATCTGCTGAAGTCATCAAGTCCAAACCAAAAATGACCGACGCCGCGCTTTCCACGCCCTCCCATCGCGTCGAGCCTTTCCCGAATCTACTTGGACATCCATGTCATCAACTGACACTAGGGTCAGGCTTGGTACCATCCCTCGTGGGAAGTTCTCTTTTTGACGTGGTCTATGACTTTGGAATCCATGCAGTCCAGCTAGGTTCCACGTAGATGCGTCGCGCCAGGAATAGCAGGCGAGGCACTCTTGTGAGTGTGGCTGCGTCGAGCTGGGGAGACTCTAGTGGCGCGAGACCTATGACGCTTTCGGAGCCGCTTTTGCTTGATTCAAGCATCGCGTCGTTGCATGTGATTCATTGTTAGTATTGAGCGTTGGGGGGTCGTTTTCCGCAGCATTGGGAGAATCAGGACTTGGTGAATTTGATAGAGAGGATTTGCGGTTGAACCCCGTGGGTGGAGTTTTCGCTATGGAGGTCGCGGTGTCGGGGTCGCGGCGTGCTGTGGAACGATTGCAGAGTTTGAGAGGCTTAGGGGTTTCACGGGAGTTTTGTGGAGGTGTGGAGGTGAGAGGGGTTGTGAAGAGGGTGGAGGTTTGTGGAGCTGGCTTTGTCGATCGTGGTCAAGAGAGTTTTTATGCTCTGCGGGTGCGGTGCGGGGATAAGGATAAGCGTGTGGTGGGGAGGCTTGCGAGGGTGCAGGAGCTAGTGGAGGCGCAGCGGGATCTTATTCTGTCGTCGCGGAGGGCGTTGGCTCAGCGGAGCGCTGATGTGGTTAGACGTCTTGAGGTGGATGATTCTCTTGAGATTGGAGTTAGTGATGCAGTGATCGATCGGATAGTGCAGAACGTGGCCGATCTGCAAGTGGAGGTAGAGTTGCTCAATGCGAAGAAGAAGAAGAAGAAGAAGAAGAAGAGTAGATCATCGTCGTCGTCGTCATCGGATTCGAGCGATTATGCTTTGAGTGAAGCAGTGGCAAAATTGAAACTCGGTAATGCGAAGGAAAAGAGGAACAAGAAGGAATTATCCTTGTCTTCGAGTTCTTCTTCTTCTTCTTCTTCTTCTTCCTCATCGTCGGAGTCCAATGACATGGAAATTGGTAAAGCTGTTGACTTGCGAGCTTTGCGCAAGAACAAGAAATGCGCGAAGCAATTCGGTTTTCGGTTTGCGATAAATGCCCCATCCAATGCTTCAGTTAGTGCAATCGATACTGTCTCTTTAGTGCCCGTCGAGTCCACTTCCCAGCTCAATCAGGTGGTGGAAACGATGAGGTCTATCCCATCCATTGCTTCAGCTGAGCGAACAGCCGTTGGGATCGCTAATCTTGGAAGCTTGAGCGGTAATGTTCATGAACAAGAGCCTGCTATTATTTCCCAGTTAAGAGCTCTCTGCAGCACTCCGAGTACTTGTACCTCAACCAATCCTAGCCCAATTCATTCACGAGGACCTATTGAATTGAAGGACACGCCTGGCGGAAGAGTTATCGTGGAGACAGAGTTGTCGTTCTTACCTTCGGTCGTCGATCCTCCTCCGACTACAGCCAACACTGGCGGTAAAATCGAAGTGTGCACAGTAGGGAAATGCAGAAAGGGAGGGTCTCAGCAGATCCTTGCTTCCTTGAAGAGTATTGTTCCCGAATCGTCGAACATATCGGTAACATCATGCAAGTGTATGGGGAAGTGCAAAAGTGCCCCCAACGTGCGTGTGAAGAATAGTGAAAGGCAATCACACCTGCACAGTCATGTTTCTGAGGATGACGCTGACACTCTGTTTGATTACCACTTTGGTTTGCAACCTTCCGGAAACCGGTTACCTGCCCTGGTCGCAAGTATAAATTCTGACTTCTCTGCTGCTGTCTAGACTGCGATGATAGTCAAGATGAGCACGCTGTTTTCTCGAAGCAGTAAGATCGATCTCAGTTTGTCGTATGCATTATGTACATACTAGTTTTGGAAAGGACCCCAGATTGTATTCCCGTTTGCACGTCCTGCATCATCAACAGGTTGCTAGTGACAAGGCTTTGAGTATAGAGGGGTGTCGTATCGTGGTAGTAGAGTAGGGACTTCGTAGACACATGTGCTGAAGAGGACAACATTTTTTGGAAAATTTATACAACCAAACTCATTGATGTGAGTTATTTTCACATGATTATGTTTTTGAGTCGTTTTTAGCTCTCACTTCACTGCAAGAAAGCATTTATTTACAGATTGTTTTTCACCTATAAATTAATGGGTGTGGGTTTTAAGCTTTTTCCATATACAAATGGCACTCACCTAACAATTGCAACACCACAATTAGTTCCAAAGTCGATATGTAATGCTTCCAAGAATAAGAGGAATTCCGCCGTCCTTAACACACAAGCCTATCACTTAAATCAATCCCTTTATTAGTAACGATTCTCTGTGTGACAAAGTTTCTGCAGAGAAGTCCATGAATACTTCACCAACACAGAAAGTATTTTTAATGATATGAAGATTGGAACTGCCAATTTCTGGTGAAATGGGATGTAACCCAATCTCTTAATCACAATATATCCACCACATACGGGCATCTCTTCGCGCACAAAGCTGGATACTTCCTGAAGTAACCTCTCCGTGTACCTAACGATTTGTACAATCTGCAACTTTTGACAGTGGGATCGTTTCTGCCTCATAGGTCGTTGATCATCTTCCTTAAAGATTTTCGCCTACTTGGGTCTTCCTCCGCCAAAGCCCTTTCAGTCAACACCTGCTTGATGCGACACATTGTCTTGCGTACCTACAAGTCAAGCAGACAAAACATAAATCTCATCCATTGTACGTAGATTCGTCGTAGTCGCATCTTTAGACACACAACAAAGACACTAAAAAGGCAGTTATCTGAAGCTTCGTCTTTGAGCATGAGAACGAATCGGCACTATCATAAGAAGGTGATGATCAGACATCCACATAGAAGAAAGATTGTGCAAGCAGATGCACCGGTAAAACCTAGGATATACGTGTGGAGGAGGTCACCCACGTTCCGCAAACTTCCTTAACATAAAGAATACCGAAACCCAGACTAGGATTACTGTACATTTAGGTTACTGGGCCGAACAATGTCGCGAAAACTGTTCAAGAGAGGATGGGTACTGTACATCACCATTGTACAACCTAAGGAGGCATTTGCACGCTATTCGAATTGTGACAAGATAATTATAAAAAACACAAGTAATAAATCATTGAAGAGAAGCCCGGAAATTCTTTGATTAGCAGTGATACAGACGGCCTCTCAATATTCATAATAGTGTGATAGAACAAAGTTTACCTTAGGAAAACGCTCAGGGTTTGGCATCCGCATGTTTTGCGACAGCAACATTTGTTTCTGTGATAGCAACATATTCTTCTCCTTCAAGCAAACGTACCATAGTTGATGCAGGTCTTCCCATGACTTCTGTCTTAGTTCCTCTGCCTTCCAACTACGACCTGCAAGTGCGCGCATTTGTATGTTGAAGACTGTGAGACACTTCCGTGATTTTTCCACCGTTTTAAGCACGAAGCAAGCATAAGCCTCACATCAAAAAGGATTCTACAAATTCTCTACATTTTGAAACCAGAATCCAGGAATTAGAAACCCTTAAGAATCAAAGATATGCTGCTGATTCCTTCAAACTCTACTGTATTGTTAAAACATAGTGCTGCGTCATTAAAACCTAGTGCAACAACGGATGCACGAGCTCCACCGATTTCTAAAGAAAAGCGGCGACCATACCGTAAGTGATATTGGCGTCCTGATTAGGATCACGCCCAGCCTCAAAGAAATCCGCGAGTCCAGTCCTCGTCCTCTGTACCTGTGCAGCGCCAGCCACTAACGGCCTCCTCAAGAATCTGGCCAACATAGTGACGAACAATCTCGAAAACCGGAAAAAACGAGACAAAACTTGCTTCCGTCTCAAGGTCTAACTTCTACATTCCATCAAATTCGATCATTAGCATCTGATCGCCTCACACAGGTTTCGAAATTCGGCAAGCAGATCCAAGAATTCGATGGCGATATACAGGCAACAGGTGCCGCACGGTAACACGCACGGAATGACAAGGGAATGGACGGTGAGACTGAGCCGCGAACCATAAAACCCAGAACCCTAGAAGAGCTCTGCAGAACGATGAGGGCGAGTAAAACATGGGGGAGGTCGAGGGGCCTTGAGACTTATAAAACCCTAAAACTTGAACTTTTAAACATTTGAATATTCCTTGAGAAGTTCGTATTCAAGAAAAAAAACAAAACAAAACAAAACAAAAAAAATGAATAAATGAATAAATACAATTTGTATTGCGAGCATGATTAAAGGTTGATGTATGTATGGGAATTTCGACCATTACCCTTTAAATTACATTTTTAGTTGGGTCAGACACCATGATGGTTATTCTAGTACAATTTGCAAAATCCGTGTAAAAATTCAATTTCGTGTTCTGAGTATAAATTTCTGCCAGTCACTGAAGCATTTAGTCACGGCAATATTGTAAGAAAACAATAAAATAACACATCAATAAGTATTAACAACTGAAATTAAAATCATTTCAAAATCAACTTTAGAAATTACAAAAAAAAATGTTGTTGTAAAAAATGTTGTTTTAATAGTTTCAAACATATACATGTATACACACATTCTCTTATTTTTGTTTCCATGACCACTTAAGATACTGTCAATAGCTTTTAGATAATTAAGTGTTAAAATTACTAAATTTTAATATGTCTGTAAATTATATATATATATATATATATATATAGATATTCACATACATATACATACATACATATATACATAATACATATAAGATTAAATCTTGTAACTTAAAATAACATTTTTTAAATTTAATAATAATTTATTTATATGTATTAATTAAACCTTAATAAAAAAAATATGCATAAATGCATAGTAACTTAGTAAAATTTCAAAATCATAGGAATACACAATTTGTAGTACTAAATATCTTTTGTAACATTTTAGAACCTTCTTCCATTTTTTGCTTATTTGTAATACTTTTTGCACAACTTTAGAAAGTTCCAAAATCTTCTAAACTCTTTCAAGAGATTTTTATTATCCTTATTGTGCTTCTACAACCTTCAATAACTATTCATAATTGTCTTTGACTTTCTAAAAGTTTTTATTGAAGTTTCTTTAAATCTCAAAAAGATTTTATAATTTTTAGGATTATTTCTAAAAACTTAAATAGACTTTAGTTGCAATAGTGTAAATAAGGAGGCAAAATAAGAGATTCCAAGATCTTTGAACACAAGCCTATAAACAATTGATGTATAGTTTTGTATCTTTTTCACTTATTCTAAATGTAGTATAATATAATTTTTTCTTGTACTTCTTAATATCTTAGTTTCTTGTTTTGGAACACAATAAAACATTTAAAACATAAAAAATCAACTTGTATTATTGATTTTTATGTTTTAAGGATACAATAGAAAGTTTATTATTAAATAAATAAAAAAACAAATATTATTGTAGATATTTTTATGTAATTTTAAAGTAGTGCTCATAAATATACAATTTTATGTTTTTCTAATAAAATTTTAATTTTTTAGTTATGAAGATACTTTTAATTGGACATTACATTTTAAAATTTATAATTAAATAACCTTTATTATTTACAATTTAAACATCTAATCATATTTTATAATAAATTATTTTATGTTTATGTTAGACATTTTAGAGGTATTAGAAATATAAAACTAATTATATTCCAAATATTGATATTAATATTATATTTACATGTATATTTATAAATAAATAAATAAATAAATAAAAATATATATACTAGAAATCTACTTGATATTTTTTAAAATAATAAACATTAAATTTATTTTTGTAAACTAATATAAGACATAATTTATAAATATCAAAGAAATGTAAGAATTTAAAATTATGTTGACATCTTAATCTAAACTACATCTAATAGATTTTTTGTCGTATTTTAAAGTAAAGTTATTATTCTTTATTTTTTAATAACTTACAATTTTTAACTATTTAAATTTATTCTAAATTTATTTTAATGCATAATTGTTTAATTCAAGAAATATCAAAATAAATTTTGATCATAAAAATTATCTATAAGCTTTGAAATAAAAACAAGTATATTATGACTTTATTTTTTAAATTGAGGTTAATTATATTAGAATAGTGATAAAAGTACTTATTTTAAAATACAATATTTACAAAAATATTATAACTAATTTTTGATTTTATTTATCAAAAATATTAAAAATAAATATTATTTTAATAATAGAGTTTATAATATGTTTTTTCAAACTAATATTTTAAAAGGCATTATTGTTAATCTATTTGTATAGCATAAATATTTTTATATATAATAGAACATTGTATGTTTGTGATGGAAAAAACTACTATATATATCATAACATAATGCAATCTAATCTATTATAATTATAATGTAATTAGGTATACATAATATCTTTTTACCTAAATTTGTAACATAGATATACCTAGTTAAATATATTATTGATGGAATTAATACATAATATATATTGTATATGTTATAATATAATGTGCAACACTTATATGTAATAGAATATAACTTAATGTAAGATGAATCTAATTGACAAGTCATTCTTGACAAGAATATTATATGTTTGTCTATTTTAGACAAGACAAAATATAGATGGAATTGTGTGCAATATCTAAGATTCCTTTACAGATGGTCTATTAGGACATTTTAGATCTTAAAAAAGCAAAAAAAAAATGTTCTAATTATTTGTACAAATTAGGTGTACCAAAGGTATAAAGGCCATATTAGAATACATATATATATATATATATATAGATATATAGATATATAAAGAGAGAGAGAGAGAGAGAGAGAGAGAGAGAGATTAATTAAAGCCAAAGCCCAATTTTGTTAAAACCACATCCTTCAAACCATGTTTAGTCTAATATCACTCTATTCCATGTAGCGTGCTCATGACTATGGCTTAATGTGGATGAGATGAATCATCATCTTCTATGAGTGCAAAGATTAGCATGTCTTTTGTACTTGAGCATCTCCTCTACTCAAGACTTTATTTATGAGTGTAGAGAGCAGCCTTATCTATCTCTTTTATATCCCACTTCAGCCTCTATGTACACGAACAATGCATTCTAGATTCCAAACCAACAAAAAAAAAAAATTAAAATATCTTATTAATTTTAGGAGGTGAATCTAGTGAAAGGATGTTACTTCTTAGATGGTTGCCTTCAAATTAAAAACGTTTTAACTATAAAGATGCTTTCTTTATTTTCTCTAGCTAAGAAAAATGTTTCTATTAGTTGATCTTCAAAATAGAGTTATTAAACATTTAGTGCTAAATTTTGTTGTTCTCATGCAATACAATTGAAGCATTTCAATGAAAAACCAATGGTGAGGATTCAATAAGGCTTTACAACTACTTATGAGTTAAATAATTTTGTGTGCAAATTCTCCTCACAATTGTTGAGAGATTGAATGAATTATCTACAAATAAATTATGAGTATAAAAATAGAATGATTTACTCTCTGATCAAGAATACATCAAACAATTAGGTCCAAAGTATGAAGGCGGACATTGGGAGGATGTAAGGTGAGCAATTCAACTTTAAAAAAAACAAGCATCAATTGGAGATGATGCTAAGAATTGGTTGAGATGGAGCACACCAACGAAGCATGTTTGTACTATTAGTGATTGGTGGTTCAATATTTACTTAATACTTGTATTAACATAAATCATATTTATTGTCAATATAGATCTATAATCATTTGAATGCTTTCAATTACTAATAGTGGATTCTCATCATCAATATTCTAAGCTATGATAGTATAATTCTAATTGAGCCTATTGATTGACATTGGGAGGATGTAGCATAAATACTTAAGTTGGAGCTTATTAGAATTTTGAATTAGAGCTTGCAACTACATGTGTATTCTTAAAAAATTGCATTCTTTAGTTGTATATATTAATATAATTATATTTTAAATTGATATTGTGATTTTAGCAAATAGAAGTCACATATTTTTTTCACCCATTTCACCGACCTCTCTTTTTGGATATCTTGCCATGGAAAATTGAATTTGTTCATCTTGCAAATATCCAATCCACTCTTCCAAGCCTTAATATCAACATAGGAGAGTCTTTAACAATCTCAATTGAGCTATCTTTTGCATTTATGAGGAAAGTCTTAGGTAGAAGTGATGCTTAGGCACAAAAGAGGAGTTGCCTTTTGTACTCATAGAGGTAATGATCCACCTCATCCACATTGAGCTATAGTCATGAAGATATTGCATGGAATAGAGTAACATTAGACTAAAATAATTATAATATGTTTGAAGGATTGTGACTTTAATCTCTCTCTCTCTCTCTCTCTCTCGCTATATATATATAATATCTTATAATATCTTACAACATCTTATAATAAATATCATGTTAATATTTTTAAGAATATATGTTGTATAATAAATTATTTATATAAATTTATTAAATTTATTTAAAATATGTCACAAACTAAAGCCATAATATTTATAATTTTATAAAATATTCTATTTTTAAATCCTATTTTTAATTTTTTATTCTTTATATTTATATATCTATATATATTTAATATACATATATTTTTAAAAAAATTATATAACTAATTATTATTATTAATTAAATTTATTTATAGATTCTTTGTTTATATTGCTAAATTATAATTAATTTTTGTATTGTGTAATATTATTAAATTATATCTTGTTTTACTAATTTTCTTCTAAATAAAATGTAAGAATCTTAAAATTTTTATTTTCTTAGTACAATATATTGCGATTTTTGATAAAAAAAGATAAAAATTAAATAGTATATTTTTATTAATACAAAAATATTTCTATCTATAAAGGATAGTTATTATGATGTCAGCCAATTCATGTGTTTAATTTTTTTTTCTTGCAATAAATAAATACATATATATATATATATATATATATAAATTTTTTTTTAAAAATTACCATAGATATATGATACTAATTTTTTTTTTAAACAAATAATTTGATTGTGTAAATTTTTATGTATCATGTTTTAAAAAAATTCCATTACATCTATATTAATACTTCTCAAAATTTCAAATATATACCTTAAATTTTTAACTTTTAATCCTGTAGATATAAGATAATGCTTCTATCAAAGTATTTCTTCAAAAATATATTGTCTATGGTATTATAATTTTGATTATTTAAAAAATCTATCATGAAAATATGTTTTTAATTGTTGGTAATATATTAAAAATTCTTTAACAAAATATTAGCATGTACCATGTCTGATGTCAATTATCATGATTGTATAAATGAGTTTGCATGTGACAATACTTAAGCATAGCCTTGCCTTTGTTTGCTACATCTAAATATGTATGTGTACTTAAAATAATTAATAGGAGAAAATATCAAAGACAATACATAATTTTTGTTTATATATTTTAAATATTTATGAAGATCTAATGGATAATAAGTTGTGGTGTTTGTATTTAATGAATGTGAAATAGAATGTTAAGTCTCAAGTTTGATTTGTAGCACCAACATCAATTCTTCTCACTCTTTTTTAATTCAAACTTGGTCTTTTTTTCCAACATAAATCATTTTTACTTATATCTCATCATTTATAGGTCTGCAAACTAACAAGACAAATAGATAAATCAAAATATTTTGAACTTCTTTAAACCTTTACACAAAATGAATTTTTATCTACAAATACATCTAAAGTATAAATCAAGAATCCATTTTTATCTCATCCATAGTAGAATATAATATTGCATAGTATGCAACTAATTATCATGCTTCTAAAGAGTCTTCAACATTACAACTCCATATAAAGGTCTTAGCCATATTTCTATACAAGATCAAGCATCCTTACTACTCATGTAAACAGAACTTTTGTACACCAGATACATGTATATTAAGTACATAACATTCAAGATTTATATATATATATATATATGTATATCTATGAATAAGAAGATACACATACATATTTAATATTTTCTTTTTTAATTCATATTCATTAAAGGTTATTAATCATTGTAGGTGGCACCTTGAAAGCATGATAGAAATCATCCTTACTAGGACCTACAATCTAAGTTGGTTGCTTCTATTGTGGCAACCACATGGCCTTGCTTTGCCCAATTACATATAGCCTCGCCTTGTCAATCATGTATAGCCATGTAACATTCTAGCCACTTAGCCTTTGTTAATCACAAGTGTTAAATAATAAAAGTCAATAAAAATTGATTAATTATTATAAGTAAGGAATCATTAATTATTCACCATAGAACAGAGTTAGTTCCCAAAATTTGTTTAATTAGTGGGAGCTATTAGCTTTATTGGAATTGCTGAACAGAGAAATATTATTTATATTCTTGGAGAATATTAAATCCACCCTGATAAATCTTAAATTGACCTACCTTTGTTCTATCAGTCGTGTATTGTGCCATATATTTCTCACTGATCCAAAGAAAGTCGTCTTCCTTCACTAATCCCTCAACTTTGAGCTCTTTTCCTCATTCACAAATGTTGACAAGCGACCAAAGACTGAATATTTCACCTGATTTTAAAGAAGCGTGGAATAACTACAACGCCACAATGGCTTTAGAATCTATTTGATAAACGCCGAAGGCAAATACATTATGATCCCAAGATGATCTTCACAGCATATGATACACTGTGAAAAATATATGCTGTGATTTGGCACGGCAAGAGTAAAAGTTGATTTAAGATTTACTTGGGTCGATTATGTACTCCCCATATTGCAAGGAAAATGCAGAACAAACGCAACGCATAGGACGCCAAGAACGCCGAAGCATCGCGTCCTCACCTTCTTCACGCTTCGCGATCGCTCGATAATCGAACCTTCCCACCTTTGCGATTTGATTGAAAGCATTGTGCAAAATTATCGAGCGGAGTTGGCGGGGCGGGGGGCTCGTTCAATTGTTGTTGTTCTTTTCCGTTTGAATGCACAAATAGCGACGGAGGCATTGTGATTGAGTGGTTCTGTTGCAGCTCTTTTTGTCAGGAGATTGTCAGTCGTCGCGCCACAACGCAATTAATAGCTGGACCCGGGGCAGCAGCAGCTCGTAGGGGTGGCGTTTAGTTATCCCAGCCATTGCGACTCGTGGAAGTTGTTGCTTGTAGAGTTCAAGCTTTCTGTCTTTAACCGATGAGCCTTATCTTTAAGGACCCAACCTGAATTACACCACCCTTTTGCATTCAGGCACTGTATTCCGCTAATCATTCGGTGGCACCATTGCACACTCTCCCTTCGCTGGACTTGTCGATTTGTCGCCGTTGGTGAATCTAAGTTGGTCAATTCCGTGTGAGAAGAAGATTCAGCTGGTGTTCAGTTTACGTTGCAAAATTTTCAGGTTTTTGGTTGTGTGTTCGAGTTTTTGAGGTTGCTGTGCGGGTGGCTGCTATGGCTGCCGTGGCTGGGAATCTCGGTGCTCTCACAGCAGCAGTCACCAATGGCGATGTACTGGTGAAGCTGGACAAGCGGAATGTGCTGTCCAGTGCATTTTTTAGTCGGAAGCTGGTGGCTGCGGGATCTACCAAGGTGACCGTGAGGCAGCAGCGGGAGGGGGAGATGAGGCGGGGTGTGGTGGCCTATGTCGCCCCGAGCACCACTGAGAAGACTGTGAGCGAACCCGAGAGGACTGCGAATGGGGTTGCAGAGAAACAGACTGGTGGACAATGTTTCGGCGTGTTTTGTGTAACTTATGATTTGAAGGAGGGTGAGAGGCCCAAGACATGGAAGAAGACGGTGCGTATTGCGGTGTCTGGAGCCGCCGGCATGATTGCCAATCATTTGTTGTTCAAGCTCGCGTCTGGAGAGGTCTTCGGCCAAGACCAACCGATTGCTCTGAATTTGTTGGGATCAGTGAGGTCGAGGGATGCTCTGGAGGGAGTAGCTATGGAGCTGGAGGATTCCCTGTTCCCGTTGTTGCGGGAGGTTAACATCGGGATTGAGGCAGAGGAGGTTTTCGCCGATGCCGACTGGGCTCTCCTCATCGGTGCCAAGCCACGGGGTCCCGGCATGGAGAGGGCCGACCTGCTTGACATCAACGGGCAGATCTTCGCCGAACAGGGCAAAGCTCTGAACAAAGTGGCCAGCCCTGACGTGAAGGTTTTGGTAGTGGGCAACCCATGCAACACAAATGCACTCATCGCATTGAAGAACGCGCCTCGTCTCAACCCTCGGAATTTCCATGCTCTCACTAGGTTGGATGAGAACCGAGCCAAATGCCAGTTAGCTCTCAAGGCCGGTGTCTTCTACGACAACGTCTCGAATGTGACTATCTGGGGTAATCACTCCACCACTCAAGTCCCAGATTTCCTGAACGCGAAAATCCATGGCGCTAGGGTGATGGATGTTATTCAAGATGAGAAATGGCTGAAGGAAGAATTCACCCCCAGAGTACAGAAACGTGGAGGTGCCCTCATTCAGAAATGGGGTCGATCTTCCGCCGCTTCCACGGCTGTATCTATCGGCGATGCCATCAAGTCTTTGATCACCCCTACTCCAGAGGGCGATTGGTTCTCATCAGGAGTGTACACGAGCGGAAACCCATATGGAATTGCTGAAGACATTATCTACAGCATGCCCTGCCGATCTGCTGGGGATGGATCCTGGGAGTTGGTTACCGACTGTGAAATCGACGACTACTTGCGCGAGCGCATCAAGAAAAGCGAGGACGAGTTACTTGCGGAAAAGAATTGCGTGGCTCATCTTATTGGTCAGGAGAATGGTTACTGTGACCTTCCTGAGGGAGACACAATGCTGCCAGGGGAGCTTTAAAGCAGGTTCATGAATAATTCACTGGAATTCGACGGAGCTGGTTCTAGTTAGAGCTCCGATCATTTTGTTCAACGAGTTCTCTTCTTTCAGGATGTCGTGTTCATTCCTTTAGATAGAGTTTAGTCAGAAGGTAACGGAATATAATGACGAGATAGGTCTGTTTTATGCTGTAGGCTTGTCTGTCTGCGAAGAGGTGTGTACTGGTAGGTTCATTGGTTTAGCTTCTCTGCTTAAGTATCCTTCAATTTTGAGACTCCACCTTATCCCGGTAGCAGCAAGTTATCCATTGTCACGTAAGGTAGGTATGTGCTTGCGGGGAAGCATTGTGGGTGGTGTCGTAGACGCATAGGTTAGCGATGTAGCATGTGAAAAAACATCGTAGGCAATTCTGTTATGCCCTGAATTGCGCAAGGCAGTTCACATTTGGACGAAACTACGAAGTGACCCCTGCAAGTCTGCCGCTGGAGCTTGCGGATCGTTCTTTGACGTTGAATCTCTTTAAACGATCTATGAATTTCCATAATTTTGGCATAATTCAATTTTAACAACATATCTTGACGTAATAAATTTTCGTAATGAAAACGGAGTATATTTGCAGTGAACAACAGTTCACTGTTTTATAATTTATAATTTTAGGTGAAGACGAATATTAGCACCGTGTCCTATCTGAGTTAGATATAGCGGGCTGTTATGCGAGTCTTCTTCGCTGCTGACACCATCTTCATCTTCCTGGTTGTGGATGAGGGAAATAGAATGAACTCGAGTAGTAGCTGACCACGTTGCGCGACAAGATGGACAGAAATCCTGAGAAAAGTAGTGAAATATTAGCGCGGAACAAGGCTTCGCTTTTGCGGAAGCAAACTGACTCTCATGTGCTGACGACTGATGCTGCGAGACTGATGAGCCCTTTCCACGCAACGAGCATTTTATAGAGAGCACCACACTCATTCCGTACACTTCCAGAGCCTAATGAGAAACACATGTTGTTTCAAGCCGGATTATTATGAACGTGTCCAACTCGAAAATTGCAGTTTCTTGTTGCTGTTTCGTGGCCATGGAATACAGAATATGCGCGTCAGAGTTGAAATTATCTGATGCAGAAAGTACGTCGTTGACGAGTTTTGCTCTTGGCATGAGACGAACTACTGTGACGATAGTCAATCCATCTTAAATGCCCACTCGTTGAGACTCTAATTAAATCTCAACAGCTTAAGACTACACAATTCGATGTAAGGTGCAAAAACGTTTACTGATCCTCAATGTCTACCTGCCCTGTGACCATCTGCAGAACACCGAGGGCTATTGAAAACCAGCCTCGTAGTCGATTGCATTGTTATGCCTCTGAAATTTGCCTTTCAGTCGATTGCATTGTAATACTTCTGAAGTTTGCATCGGCCTGGTTAGAGGTCGCCTCGTCTCTTCAGTCATGGTGAACTCTCTAACGCACTCTTCTACTACGATTTGCTCGTCAAGCTTGAGGCTCACCTCGTCTACACTGTCGACGTGCCGCTCGTCATGCACTGCTCTAGCCATCCATTGTTGCGGTACACAAAGAATCAGTACTTGCCGAATTGTGTTTGAAGTAAAATATTCTAGAATGTGACTCCGGGCCTTCCTTCTTCACTTCTGGTGCCATTTTCTTCTTTGAGCTCTGCAGACACCTAAAATCTTGCATGGTTTGAGAAATTTTAAACGTTCAGCAGAATGTCCATGGCCGGAACTTGGAACCCCAGCTTGAAGAAATTTACAGGCCATAGGTGCAAATATACTTTTCTTATTACCTTCTTTTGTATTCTTCTTGGTATGTGTATCTTCCAAGCATGGGATCCAAATTTAAATCCTAAAGCTATTTGGAAACTAGACACTGCAGAGATACTAAGAGAATTTAAAATTCCCTTGTGGATTACATCTAGAAGGCTATTTGATGATTTTTTAAAAATGTATTTTGCAAGTGGCAAATAATTTAGGGCGAGTTTTAGACATTAATTAGGATAATAAAAATTCAATAGAATCTAGGTTTTGTCTTGCTTTGTTTTTAGGAGATGGAAAGGAAGTTGAGGTGGAAATAACCAACTCTATTACTCAAAAAAAAAAAAAAAAAAAAACTATGCTAATTGACTATAATAATACTTCTATTAGGTATAATTTTTTCATTGATGCTAATCACATAATTAAAGACTGCAATAGACTAGAAAAAGCTAAGTAGAGAATACAATATAGAGCAAACAGAGATAGAAAATAGTACAAAAGAAAACAAAAATTATCAATCATGTTGGATAACATCTTTACAAATAAACAATAGTTGCCTTCAACTAGTTCAGGTAAAAAAAGAGTTTCCAACCAATAATCAAGGTGGAAAGAACAATAAATTAATTAATGCAGACAGCTTTGTTTTAGTAGAGTCATACTACATACACAAAAAAGAATAAGACACAAAAATGGATGGGATGTGGTGTGTATCTCTAATAGCAAATTACAAATTGCTTTCAATCCAATACAGTCTCAAAATTGGACATTGCAAGAAACAAGGGCTCCCACCAAGAGAGGCATATTAGTTCTAAACTAATAAGAATGTAACACACAATCTCAAGTACATTGCAATTGAAACAAAAATCAATAAGAGTAAATACATGGAAGTTTTGATAGAACAAAGTAAGCACTATATTTTTTATTAGTATATAATTATAGTAAGATAGAGGGCAGATGGACTAAATCTCAAGCATACAAAGACACCAAAGATGAAATTTGGACTAGAAGGGCAACCACAAGAAGAAAGGTTTGCAAATTCATTGATTAAAAATCAATAATATATAGTCCATCTTAAGATGCAACAAATTCTAAAAAAATTCAAATGTAATAAAATCATAAGACTAAAACAAAATTGTGGCTCATTTTAGTATCATGACACCAAAAATCTATCAAAGTTAGATAGTGCAAAGTGAAAGTAAAATAACAACGGTTTAGAATTCCAAAACACCATGAAAAATGATGATGCTAGAAAAATAGATAAACAACACATTGCCAAATGAGAAAAAAATAACTTAAAATTTTCTTAAGCTTTTACTTAAATCAAACTTTTAATCCATAGATCCCATAGGAGAAAGTAGAAGGCTTTATTTTTGGCAAATTAAAATAGTCCAACGAAGTGTATCAAGAATAATTAATAGTTTATAATTTGTTGTAGCAATTAAAAAAAAAGAGTAGATGATTGCTAAAATCCTATTGCTTACAAACTTATCACATTATTTCTAGTAGTGGAGCAAAGAAATGAATTAAATCAATTTCAAATCTTATATTAACATTGGCAAAATTTAGTGATTTGAGGTGTTGAAAAAAAAATAATAATAATAATAATAAAAAAAATGTACATGAACCTATGTCAAGAATATAAGTTACAAACAACCAAAAGATCAATACACTCTTGTGTTATTAAAAAAGAATACAAAATCACTTAAAGATGGTATAATATTAAGATTAGAATGGCTATTGTCAAAGATAAGAAAATTAGAGGCTCTTGAAACAAGACTAAGAATAAAAAAGGTATTGACAAGAATAAAAAAGGCTTTGTTCTTACCTCTATATATACTATCTAATTAGGAGCTACGTGGTCACATTCTATAGGAGCTCTAATATATGTCCAACTTGCAAGACACATGTCTAACTTGCAAGATAAATTTTTTACATGTATGCCATATAGCTAATTTGTATTACAAGTCACCAACATGTGCAATAAGTGGCCAACTTATTGGCCAAGTTTCCAACCTATCAATCAACTATACACATGTATAAAATCAAATCCGAAATTATACAACTTCTAAGAAGCTTTTTCATAAGGTATTAATAAATCTATCTATATTTATCTTCTACCTAATACTTCTTATTTAGGTAATTATGTATGTCCATGATAGTCCAATAGTATGTAAAAAAGAACTAGGAGAATACAAGAATGAAGAGGCTAATGATGAAGAGGCTAATGCCAATATAATAGGGACCTCTATTTCCTTCACAAGCATAGATTTATCAAAGAATTGAAATCTAATATATTGAAGCATAAGACTTTAAAAAGAAAATACTTTGGCTTGAAGTTGTTTTTAAAATTTTGAAATCAACTTTTGTTTATATTTTGAATTTGGATGGCACTAGAGCAAGAAGAAGAAAATTATGTATACTTATCTTATATAATATAAAAAAATTGTAAATAAAAAAACTCTTTATATCATAATTTTTTTTTTTAGATTTCTTTCATAAGATTGTATGGAATCATCTTTAGCATTGTTAACATCTTTGCATTAAAATAATATAGAGAATTTAGGTAATTATAGAAATTATAATTGATTATTTAAAAGAAAATATGCTTCAATCTTAAGAAGAGATTGGAACATGGAAAAAAAAGAAAAGAAAAAAAGACAAAATTTTTCTATTGCATAAAAAATTTAATAACAAAAGAAATAATAGTATAGGATCTATTTAAGATAAGGATATAATTAGAAGATTACTATATAGAAAGAAACCACTTCAAATATTTATAAAAAATAAAAGAAATGAGATGATAATAATAAAAATATTATATATTTTTTATTTTAGTAATTTTTTTCTTGATATGATCAACTATTATCATATCAAAATATATGTGGCTATTTTAAATAATATTTTAGTAAAAATAAAAGTACAAAAAAACAAAAAAAAACTAAAGAAATCTTTTTTTAGGATAATAATAAGATATCTTAGAGATATTAATAGAAATATTAAGTGTATAAGCTATGGACTTATATTCTAAAAAAATGATAAGATTTTTAAAAGATTTAGAAAATTTATTGAATTCAATAAAAACAAAGATAAAGCCACAATAAAGAATAGGCACCTTAGAGACAAAAATCCAAATAAAACATCTTTAATTCAACCTCTAAAGCAGCCTTCCAAAGCTTAGATTTCAATATTTTTTCAAAGTATTGTAAGAAAATTTATCAATCTATAAAAACTAGAAGATAAAAAGCTAAAAACTGAGAGCTAAAATTTGATAGAAAGCACAAGGATATACATGCTCTAAGACATTTTTAAAAGCAATTAAGGAAGAGATTCAAAAGCTAGAATTACTTTTCTTTATTATCCATATAGCAACCAAATAACTATACAAGATCAACTTAAAAAATCTTATTAGAAATTTTATACTAAGCTATATTCAATCTACAAATCTACTTAAGCAAGATTTAAAATCTTTAATATAGTAATTAGTGAAATTCTTTCTAAATTCACTAAAAATATAAAAATAAGTTTTTTTAAAGTAATAACTTTTACAAAATAATTGAAAGTCATTAAAGAGATAGCAAGTAAAAAAATCCCAAAGCTAAATAGGTTAGATATTAATTTTTAAAAATATACTACAACCACACAATAGAATTTTATTTATTTATTCATTTATTTCTTGACCAAAAATATTTTTATAAGATGCCTTTCTAATATCTATAATAAAAAACAACATTAAGCTATTATACAAAGAATGCAAAAGAATTAGCCTAAGCAATTGGTGGCCT